CCCCCCCCCCCCCCCCCCTCCCCTCCCCCTCTCCTCACGAGGATATCAAACGCTCTGGGTGTGAACACATCTGTTCTTTTCCTGGATTTGAGAGCTTATAATTATGGAAATAATCACAATGTGATGTTTTTAATGGCACTAGATGAGCGTAGTCGGGCGAAAAAGCAATCAATTGCTAGCGTACCACGTTGAGCAAATCAACGAATGGGGGAGTGCCGGTAAGCATTATGCGTTCCTGAAGCCCCCAAAAAAAGCTAAATAGGGCTAATTTATTACTTCATAATGCACTAAAATCATTAAATATATCATATGTTTACCATTATGATGAATAAACGTACGCATAGCGGAATACAGACAAAAACATCAGTTTTAAGCAGAGATGCGAATTTGCTTGCACAGGTAAAAGCAGTAAAAGAGACACACTCCAACGCCGTCACAGTCCATAGCGGGATAAAAATGAAAGCACAGAACACGGGGCTTACATCGAAATAAGATATGATACGCTAAAAATACAAGGATCGATTTAATCAGCAAAACAGCGGATGCATTTATCTCCATGGTCCCTTAGCCCCTCCCTCATTTGTCTCCACCCGACCCTCTTGCCCTCTCAAACCCGTTTCATGTGGAAGTCAAGCACCCGGAAAAAGGTTCAAGTTGTGGGCGACAGATTCGCAATCGATAAATTGCTACTGACTGCAGGCCAATCTTAACGAATCGTGAAGCAACTACCTTATGATTTAATCCACGACAAAAAAGAGACTGTTCTGGTACTTAATTTCTCTTTTTGAAGATTCCACGCAACTTTTCATCCTCAGTTGGCTGCAGTATCACCTGGGGATAAGACGTTATCAAAATGCAATGTAATTTTTATTTGTTATCAAAACGTACGGTAATTTTAATTTCAAATTAGAAAACAATTTTAAGTGCAAATTTTTTAGAAACCTTCAAGTTGCAAATCCGTCTCACCTGAACTAAAAACTGTCCCCGAATACAAAAAAATACCTGACAAGCGCTACTTCCAATTCAACTCCGAAGAAGATACGAGGCAGACAGTATGAGGAAAAAAAGGATGGGAAATGGATGCTTCAGAAGAGTGGTGCCAAAAAAAAAATTGGTAGAGGGAGGCGGGCGGGGAGTAAAACAATTTCCAGATTTGCGCTTTTTTGCTTTCGGAGGGTGTCACAGGGTGAATGCACAGGGTACATGGCAAAGAAAATTCGCTAATACTGAGCATAAAGAGAGATATCATAAAAATACCAAAGAACCAATAAAAATTACAGAATGCCCTTCTATTTAAAATTGATATCTAAATACTTCGGCCAAATTATGGCGACACCAAAGCGCACTATTCATGACCGGGTTTGTCCAAATCTACACGACAAACAGGGCACTTCTTGTTGTACAGCAACCAGCGATCGATGCAAGCTATATGAAAGACATGAGCACAGCGCAGTGCTCGAACATCTTCACCGGTTTCAAAATCACTCAGACACACCTGAAATCATGATTCTACAAATCGTAAACAACTTTTAACGCTCTGAAATCTCGATAACTGCAATACACTTAAAAAGCATTGTAAATTAGTTTTGCGTTGTAGTGTTCGCATACGCCTTCTTTCCGCCCTCTCCTCCTTCCCCCTTCTCGCTCTCCTCCACCCCGTTCGCCCGTCGAATGAAACATAAAACCCGCCCCAGGAGACTTATTTTTAATCTAACAGTCAGAAATACTCTTTGCCAAGAAGGCTGGCGATCATTTGCTCTTTGCAAATCTTCAGTCGGGTCCCATTCTTCTGAGAAATCACTCACAGCTGCTGTTCGGTAAGACAGCCACGTGCATTTGGAACAAACTCTGCACCATGTTTTAAATTCGCCGTAGGAATACAGACCAATTTTCTAGCCAAGCATAGAGTTCCACCAACACCTGATATTACTTTTTTTAGTGGCACCTGACTGACTGCAGCGCTGCTGATAGTTGTGTGGGTTAAAGGTATATTTTAGTAAAATTTAGGAAAATAGCACGAAACTGAAATTAAACTACTGAACTGGAATGTTTCGGTCGCTGCAGTCGTGCACATTCCTGCTGAGCACCACAACTGGACCTCATCCGTGCGGACGGTTGTAGTCCCAAATCACTTTACAAGCGTTTAGCCCGTCAGCACACAAAATGTTATATAATTTTTAACTTAACATACTGCCACATAAAGAGAACAAACAGTGTATGGGCAACCAATGTGGAGTTCCCACGTTAGTAATATTACTGGGATGCGCTATCATATTCGGGAGCAGTGAAGCCAGGGCCATCAATTCCGAGCCGAATACTTCAGCTGCTGGATATTCGATATATGTGAAACGCCTCACCAGAAGCCTCG